CCCACAATGGATCAGTAGTGTATACTGTACCACTCAAAGGAGTTGCTCCGGTATTACACAAGGACAGGTGAAAGCTACTGATTCAGATTTGAACCCAGCTATGTAAGACCAGACATGTTGATGAGGTGACCCACGTGTGATACTGACTCCATCAATATAAGCACTATTTATAACATAGTTTTGAACTTCATTAGTCGTTCCCTTTTGATATCCAACCACTTTACCACATATTTGACTAAAACTGATACCATTTATGAACCTAAAATCAAGGAACTGATTGGTCAATTGCAACTAGGCATGGTAGAGCTCATACATGATAGTACATGCTTTGATGATTATTATTATTATTAATTGATTTATCATCAAAGTTTAGCATGAATTAGTAGTCTAAAAGGTCTGAAATCATTATCCTGTGCTGTAATAGCCCTTGGTCCTTGGCCAAATTTTAAAGCAATCTCATAAATTTTAGAATCATTTATCACATTATAGTGGAAATTCATCAATAAAATTAGTTGTTAGATCTCATTCTCTTTGATCATGGCTTTACTCCCCAGAGTGGTTCGTATTTGTAGAAGAGGAGGAGAAGTCATACAAGATTGTGATATCTACATTGGCAGGGCAGTCCACAGAGGAGGCTGGAACTTGGAAGCCAGCAAGTGGGCCAATCCATTTAAAATAAAACCAGGTCTTCCAGTGGGGTCAGTACTGTCTGCTTATGAACAACATGTCAGATCAAACCCAACCCTAATGAGAGGGATCCCTTCATTAGCAGGAAAGACGCTAGGTTGCTGGTGTAAACCCAACCCTTGTCATGGGGATGTATTAGTGAAGCTATTTAAAGAGTACTTGGAAAAGAAAGGAGTTAAAAATTCATAGTGTTGACTCAGTGTGGATCAAGGAGCACCTAGCTAATTATGACTGGAAGGAGTTACATTACATTAAAAATAACATTAACATACAATACATGAAAACATGCATGTACCATAATCTATTTCTGTTATTGACAGTTGGTTAACTTAATTTTATTATATTACCTTCAAAAAGTATCACAATTATCTAAACGAACTAAATTTAGCTCTGATCTCATCAACATTTTTGAGGTTATGGACTGTTTTCACTTTCCTTTGACTTAATGGCATGATTAACATTTTGGCTGTTTCAAATTTTAACTGATGCTGCTAATCAAATTAAGATTTGATTAAGTATTAGTAAAACATGTACTAAAGGTATAAATTATTGGTAAATGATAATATTATATACTTACTATTATTTAAATTTATTACATTTATTGTATTATGTATATTGCTTCCTGTATTATGCATTGCAAATGCTTTCTAACGATAAAGCTATGTTTTTTGTTATTCTTTGTACCCAGCCACTTTTAATATACCTTGTATGTACAGCAGTGATAACAATTAAGTGTCTTTGAAAAGATTATCATTTGAACAAACATGTTTACAGTTCTAAGTTCTAACCATATATATGACTAACTATTATGAGGATAAGTATTGTCTTTTTACTTGACATAGATCTCATACAATTGAACTGGAGTATCTTCATCTGCATATCCACTAGTACTGCAAACCCTCAGTTCAATGTAATCAGTAATGGTAGCATTACCATAATCTCTGAAGAACCATGGAAGACCAGTAGCTGTACAACAAGGAGCTTCAACTGAAGGACAGTTATTTCCATCCCACAATGGATCACCAGTGTATACTTGACTTTTCAAAGGACCACTGTTTGTACCTGACTCACAATAGTAGTGCTCTCCTATAATGGATGGAACTGTATTAGTTGATCCAGTATTGCAAGGACAGGTGGAAGCTCTATTAATATCTGAAGTATACCCAGCCATATAAGACCAGACATGTTGACGAGGTGACCCACGTGTGATACTGACTCCATCAATATAAGCATCATTGATATCATTGTTGTTAAATTGAACAGCATCAGTCGTTCCCTTTTGATATCCAACCACTTTACCACATATTTGACTATAACTGATACCATTTGTTTGGAATACATTAGACCTACAACCAGCAGAATTACCCTCTCTCCTACAAACTCTAATGCCTCCAGTCAACCATTCCTGAAGTCCAGAGGGACAATGCTGTGAAATATCATTCATATCCAGATAAGCTATTCTTGTCCATCCTCCATCTTGTCCACACAGTTCTCCCATATTGCAGTATATATTGCGACTGTTAACATGATAGTAACCAGAAGGACTGTTGGGATAAGCTGCTTTAATATCTTTACAAGAAATAGGTCGAATGGAATTAAACAAAGAGGACCCATTCTGTATCTCTAGTAATTCATTGACTATTAGTAGTACATCATTAACAGCAGCAGCAGTTGGTATACTGATATCCTTAATAAGACTAGTGTTCAGTAATTGAAGTAGTTCATCTGTAGACCTGTTGGTATTATTAGCATGTACCATAATCTGTTGAATTATGCTATTCATTGTATCCTGTATCAGTGAGAGGTTACTGTTAACATTGTAATCATTAA